CACTCTTTCATGTTTCTGCAAGGTGAACTCTAGAGGAAGTGAGGTGAATATAAACCATGGAAAATTTGGCATGCATCTATAAAGAACCCTATCTTGGCATGATTGCTATTTATTTTGGCAGTAGGCTTTTATACCTTCTAAAAACAGATTATCCTGTATGTCTTCTCAGTTTGTCTCTATTCATTTTAATCTCAAAGTTTAGACTACAGAAAGGGGGAGTGTAGCCAAAATCCATTTCTTTCTCGTTAGATATCATGAGCTGGAAAGGTCTTACATAATGTTTCTCTGATCAGTGGTCACACTCCCCACTCTTCAATTATATCATGAAAATAACATGTTTAAATACCTCATTTTTTATAGAGGAATCAGTGTGTCATTGAGATCTATACAATTTTAATCAGAACAAATTTCTGAAAATAAAAACAAAAACCAACCACTTATTTCCTAAGATGAACACCGTCTGTATTTAGACAAAGGTCATCAGCGAATGGACTAGTTAAAATTCATTGCAGACAAAACTGTTATCATCTTGGCTCCTGAAATAAATGGCTCTTTGGCTATTCTGTCCCTTCTCAATACTGGATAAGAGCTTCTAGATGGGAAAGGCAATGCTTGTACGTTCAGAGATCTTACTCTTTAGAGGAAACTGCAGCAAAGAGTATATACCTTTCAGCTAACATTCTTCTCAGCAGTACAACAGCAGCTTAAATCTTCTCGCTTGCGATCCAAACCATAGCATTTGCATAGTCTGGCCTTTGAAATTTTTATTGGGGAAAGCAAATTGGCAATCCCAGTAAATTGGACTTGTCTTTTGATTTCAGCATTTAGTAACAGCAGGTTCTGCCTGTACCTAGACGCGAAGTGGTTATTTAAAGCCAGCCCTTGGAGGGAATGCCATGGGAATGGGATTCCACTGGGGCTTCATGGTTTTAAATGAGCACACCTCTCCCATAGCTGTACCACTCAGTCCTGCACTTTTTCCATAGCATTACTTTTGCGCTGCGCTGGATTAATAAAGTCAAACCAAAGCACTGTATCATGTTTTTAGAGATACTGTGTTGCATATGTTAATACCTTGCTTCTGTATACTGACCTCAGGCAGTGGCTAGGATGGCATCTGCAAACTAACTCTTCGAAACATGAGCTCTACACAAATTGCTGTGATGAGGAAAATAATCTTGCTCTCTGTTTGTTTTCCAGCTAAGAAGCTCTTTCAAACAGGCCTTTGGAAAGAAGAAGTCCACCAAGCCTCCTTCCTCACATTCGGACATAGAAGAGCTGACAGACTCCTCTCTTCCTTCCTCACCCAAATTGCCCCACAGCTCAGGAGAGTGTGGGGCAACATCAATGAAACCATCACAGTCAGCATCTGCGTAAGTTTCTCCTTGGCAAACTCTTCTTTGCAAATGGGATGGACTGTGAAACGGACCTCAAGTGTGGCCATTTGCACTTCAGGAACCATTGCCAACAGCCACGATCTTTTAATCTTGTGCTCCATCCAAATGCCAGATTTCTCATGAGCTTCACTGCATTTACACACTACTTTTCCAGCAGCTCTTTCTTAGGTCATTCTCTCCTCCTTTCACAGCCTTTACCCAAAATCACCTAGCAGTACAAAGTTATTTCCAAATGTATATCTGAAGATTATGTTGTGCTCTCCCTTCGCCATTAACAAGTTTATCATATCCACTTGGTATAGGACTAATGCTACGATTTCCTCTCTTCATGACATACTAAAAAGGACTTTTTATTTTCCAGGTAGCTATGAATTTTTACAAGATACTCATTGCTTCTGATGTGACTTTATCTACTTTGTATAGACTAATTTGTATCATTTTTATATATTAATCCTGTTTTATCAGCTTGGATTTTTTTGTGTGATTTTACTACTTTTCTTTTTTTTTAATTCAAATCACCATCTTTATGATGTTAAGACTAAGAACAATAATCAAAAACTGTCCCATTTCTTCATTAGTTTTAGATGTCTAATATATTTTTCATATGGAGTTCTCAGCTCCCATCCGTATTCTTCTCTCTAATGCTTTTCCGTTCTGATAAACTCATAACATTTTTCAATTTGGAAAAATCAACCTCTTTGAACCACACATGCATACTAATGTCACCACCCTTGCTTTCCTTGTCCTAATTGAGAATAATCAGGTCACAACTACTCTTCCTTCAAGCGACCAGGAAACCCTAGTCTCATGACTCATTTCCAAGCTTTAGAACAGAATTTCCCTGTGTTAGGTAGGCGCCTTTTATGATTAGCTTTTTATAGACTCTAATGATTTTTTTATATACTAGATTTAGGAGGTCGACAGCAAATATTCCCACAAAAGAAACCTCTCCGCAATAAATGTTTTTATTTCCTCACATTCTGTACGGACTAGTGAGGAGTAACTCATCTAGATCTTTAGTTTTGTTGAGCATTTTATAGGAAGTTCACACTTTTATGGTTTCACATATATGTGTGTTTTGGGAGAAGAATTTCTGCATGTTTGCGACCCTTGAATCTGATTTGTTATCAGTGTAAAAATCACTAGTAAAAGCCTAATAGCAAGTGCCTAAACTTAAACGAAACACTTTTATTCTACAAAATTATCTACTCATGATTCACAGATCTGCTTTCATCATCTTATCCTGCTTCCTTTCCTCCACACTCCTTTTTTCTCTGTCTTTTTGACCTGCTCTCTAGATGTACTTGTGTTCCCAGAATTTATGAAGGGTAAAACTACATAGCTAGTCTTTTATCCCAAGCATTTCCCATAGCTATTTGGTCTCTGAGCCTTAACTTCCTAAATTCTGTCCAGTTCATAGCATTCTGGCTCTTCTTGCATAATATTTTTAAACACCAATCTTTCTGATCATATTATCACATTTTTTATTATTATGACCTTTCTAAACAGGATAACATAGATTCCTTCCCTTCCATGGAGAGACCATGTAAAATATATTTATTTAGAATAAATTCTTTGCCTGTTATACCAATGATGTTCCTTTCTTAAAAAGACTCGGTTTTCTATTACATCATTTAAACTTCTGACACCTTTGAGACTTTTCATAATTGTCAGCAGCCTCAGTTCAAAGATCATGACTGACTTACTCCTTCTACCCAAAACACCCTACTGATTTAAAAATCCTGAGGCTGTAACAAGAAAGAAAAAGTAAAACTCTTTCTTTCTAACTGCTTTGAACCTTTGTCTGAAGTCTGATCAGGCTTCTGAGCTTCTTTCTGTGATGGGTCAGGAATGCTAACTTTTTGGTTTTATTCCTTTTGATCAAGTCTCATCTTCTTATGTGATTTTACAGTTGTAGGAGTGGAGTGCTGAAGAACTCTGGAATCTGCAAAAGAAAATTCAGTTCATGCTTTCTGCTTCCATTCTGCCTGTGTTACCAGTCTGGACAGCTTCTTCCTGCTTCTTCCAGAACTGTAGCCCTGACTTCTGCTTCATTTTTATCTTCTTTAAAGCTGGCTTGTTGTGGTCTTTTTTGTCCATCCCTTCTCAAGATATACTACACAAAAAGACAAAAAGAAAATAGCAAACAAATAGATATGTGGCTTCTCAGTTGTTTAAGCTGTTGTATAATATATGCCTATAAATAAAATTTCATTTCTTATTTGGCGAGTATAGGTATGGGCACATCAAATCAAGAACTGTATCATTATATCTGGAAAAATATCCTAGTATATGCCTTTATTCATTTTTACACACATTTAAAATATTTGTGCATGTTGTGAATAATATTCATTATTTTCCTTCTTCAATTTGACATGTTTTTTAATTTTCCATGAACTTCTTCATCTTCCTTTTGCTTACATTTTCTTTTATATATTTTCTTGACCTGAGTCTCATGTTCTAAACCATTACCTTTCTTCCAATTGCATCTCTTTAATGCGTGTGTATGCAGGTCATCTCTAGTCTGGGCACCAAAGAAAAGGCAAAACGGTCCCGTGGTCTACAAGCATAGATCTCGGTAAAATTGTGTGGGGCATGGAGTTGTATACCCAACTGCTGACCTGGAGAGTGCTGCATCTTCTTTCCCAAAATGCATTTGCATGCATTCTGGCAATTAAAAGTTGATCTCTGTTTCTTGTTTGTATATTAGCAGTAATAATCACAATAATAATACTTATTATTATACAATATATTTCATATTTACCTTTTTCTGCAAATATTAACTATTTATAGTGACAGTAGCAAAGAGAAAATAACATTTAATGAATTGACTGAAAATATTGCTTAGTGTAACAACTAAAAATTGCCAAAATTCAGTGTTTTATTTTCTACTGATTCTGTTACACAACAGATCTAGGTCTGATAATGACACATAGAGGCAAAGCAGTCTGACATGAGGACTAGACAGTTGTGGGTCCCCAGGCCAGTCATGTTTTGATCTTTTCTCACAATATAGTGGTTTCTTCCCATAAAATCAATGCTTACAAAAAATAATCTCATGGTGATTACTTTTAATCTAGTCTTTAAGAAAGAAAAAACAACCAAACACGTTATTTCATATACCATACATTACCAAATGACAAACTATAGGCAAAAAGTCAACCACCACAAATCAAAACTATTATAGATCAAAATCTAGATTATGAAGTCAGGGACTGTCTCTTTGTGTACTGTTCAAAACAGAGAAAACCATCGGTGCCTAACAGATAATAAATATCAGGAGTGCATTTTAATCAGCATACTTCAATTCTGACAATTGCTACTTAGGAAAGTCATAACTTTGCACCAGAGAAATGATGCAGATATAAAACAGGTGATATACACTCAAAAAATATTTCTGAAAAATTTTTACCAACTTTTTTCACCATAGTGAACTATCTAACTAAACTGGAAAGGTATAAAGCAAGCTGATAATTTCATCTGGTGAGGGCTTTTTTCCTTTTTTAATTTTCAGTTTCAGCCTTTTCATGTTTCTTTGATAAGATTCTTTCTTCACTCATAGGCTTCACCAGAAGCAAGCATTTTCTGTACTTTGATACTTAGTAATGACACTGCTTTGGGGGGAGAACCTTCCTTTAATCCCCTGCTTGTTTCCTGCTCCTCTCTAGGATCTGTGAGTGCACAGAGGCAGAGGCTGAAATTATTCTTCAGCTAAAGAGTGAGCTGAGGGAGAAAGAGCTAAAATTAACGGACATTCGTCTTGAAGCCCTCAGCTCTGCACACCATCTGGATCAGATTCGGGAAGCCATGAACCGCATGCAGGTCAGTGCAGTAGCTTAAGTGATGACAGGGGTGCACACCAAAGCTATGCCTGGAGAATATCTGTTCCCAGAATTCTGTTTCAGGTACCAAAAAAAATGTCAATACCAAGTAAATTGCTAGGTTGACAGTGTTTCCAAAGGATGGGTATGGTATGTGTTCAGCTTATAATAATTATTATTATATTCTTAGCATTTGTATTAATAGGTAAAATGTGTTTAAGAGACATGGAAGGAGACATAAACCCTGCCCAAATATTTAGATATTTGTTATCTAAATGCTGTGACTGGGGAAAGCAACATGGCAGACAAGCAGATCAAGAACTGATTTCTACAGAACTTCAAATCCTTGGGCTGTGGTGGGCAGGGGTATAGGTGCATGCTTTCTCACCATTTCTGATTCCTAACCCAGGTGTGCCTTACTGAAGCAAAGTATGTAAAACTGAACTAACTTATTGTATCCAGTATCACTAAAATTTCACTACATTATTTTGTGACACTGCTACAAATCCTTCTTGAACACATTTTTCGTCAGAAGACTTGCCCTTTCATGAGTCTGACAAGTTCGCAGTGGAGCACAGAGCTTTATGGGACACAGCTCTGTTGCCCACGTACAAGTCTCTAGTATCACACTGGGTACTCAAAAGTGTTAACAGCATTCACACAGTGTGATGTGGATTCTTCAGTAGATTTGAGTCCTTCTGGAATGATACCTAGGACATCACTGAAGGCACTATAAATTGGTATTTGGGAAAAAGAGTCAAGGCCATGGAGTGGGATTCAGGTTGAGACTAGGACAGCTACATTTAGATGTTTAGGTATGATAAACTCCTTTTCCTGCCAATCAAGTTTTAGTCCTGCAGTAGTGGAGCTTAGAGACCTATCCTGGAATCATCCTAGGATAGGTGTTGAGGGTGAAATTGAGCACAGGCACCTACTGCCATTGGAAGTAGCCACAGGTATTTACGTCTGCATGGGTCTTGTAGGTTTCGCATTCAACCCATGGAAGACTGTGTTTACAATGACACAGGAAACCCACATTTACACGGCTGGATTCAGCCCCAGTGGCTTGTCAGCTGAATTGCTTGGTGTTGGGTACTTTGGTCAGGTGCACCTGCAGGCACTTTTGTATAGATTTCCATGGTAGCTGATTTCATAACTACCAGATCTGTTGTGCTTTCTGTCTTTTGTAGACCTCTTGGTTTATACCATGTCTATAGCAGTCTCAGACACACCTTTAAACATGTACAGTACTTACCATCCACCCAGGTGCTCACACCACCAGGTGCCGACATTACTACGGGATATTTGGCTGAAGTTCATTTAAAGGGAAGAATAATCAAGAACTAGTCCATAAATACAGGTTTCAATTGTACAGACTTAAGTAAAGCATTTGATCTGGAGCCACTAAAAATCTTTTAGGAACCATAAGGGATAGAACACAGTTAATTGCAATGGTGGAGAACAGGATGTGAAGACTTATCGGCTGAGTACAGTTTTACACTAGGATATGAGTGCCTAAACTGGGTCAAGTCCCTGGAGAGAGGAGTCTGCTGTAGTCACAGGCCTCCAAGGCTTGAGTTTCACCAAAGCTGGCAGAGGGGACCAGTTCAGATGCTGTCGCTGGTAGTCACCAGTTCTTCTGAAGTTTTCCCAAAAAGGCAAGCAGCCACCTTGGAGTTGCCAAACTATGTGACATTTTAGAAAATTTATGAGGATTGGTAAGGGGAAAATGTAGGACTGGTGGGAATGATACATGAATACTGTGTGTATTCAAAGCATCTTAAAAATGTAAAGCTCAGCTGAATGGGAGACTGCTAAGTTTTGTATAATTAATCAGCATAAATTGCAGAGTAGATGGAGAGTGCATGACTCATTTCACCATAGCTCCTGATTTGAACCCCAGGCTAAACTGATGCATTCATCTCTTCCCTTCTGTCACTATTTTGCTGGTTTGTCCCTTCCCTTTCACTATCTCCTCACCTTTGCCTATACGATCTAATCTTTTTGTAGCTGTTGCAGGGGTTTTTTTGTAATGCTATGCCTTATGTTTTTACTTGTATAAAGTAGCTGAAGAGCCGTCATAAAACAATAGGACTTTTAGCAGAGTGTTAGTGAATGTGGAATTAAATTTGATCTGCAAAACCGTCTGCAAGAATAAGCAGTTGCTTTGTACTGTGCTTCGTGAAGCGACTGAAAGCTAGATTTAGCTGGTACCAGCCTGTTCTCAGGCTAAGTTTTCATTTTATTATTGTACATTCAATAATCACTTGGCACCACAGAGGATTTAGCTAAAAAAATTTCCTAGTTGTTCTGATTCATCTGTCACTGTATGTCTTCATCAAAGAGGGTTTGCTGGCCGTTATGTGAACAATTCCATGTTTGAATGATCAAAAAGTCTTATCTGATAAAAAGAAGGGTTATGAAAATGTTAAGCTATCAATTTCTAATACTCCATTTTTAATTTCATTTCTTCTCTGTGAAGTTACTGCTTAAATTTTGCATTCAATGTCAGTGATAATTTTCTGTGACATTAGAAACATTGACATATCTAAGATTTTAACAATAACTTTCTTGACTTACTGTCACCTAAGACATTTGAGAATAAAAGGTTGCTTATAAAACTGGAGATAGCTGGGAAAATTCTCACCATACTTGTATTGTGGTCAAATGTACAATGAACGCAGAAGCTTGAAGCTTATGTTGTTTAGGAACTGTCTTAAGGCAAAAGCAAAAACAAGGTTACAGGGGGTTTTTTCCTGTCATTTCAGAAGTGAAGGCAATCCAGTTTTCACTGACTGGGTTATGCTTCTGACATATAGTGCTACATACTGCTGTGAAAGTGGTAAACCAGTTAGCTCCTGCAGGCAAGCAGCAAGCACCAGAATAGCCATCCCCAGTGGTTTTCTGAAAGAATAACCTCCTGTACTTTTATGTTGATTTCTTTTGAATACAGAATGAAATTGAGATATTAAAAGCTGAAAATGATCGTTTGAAGGCAGAGACTGGAAATACTGGGAAGCCTGCCCGGCCATCATCAGAGTCTTCAAGCAGCACATCATCATCTTCATCACGGCAGTCACTAGGACTTTCTCTGAATAATTTAAACATCACGGAATCTGTTACATCAGGTAAGTATATTTTGGACACATGTATGCATGTAGTAAGAATTCATTATTTTTCACCCTCTTAAAGGGCCATGTGTAAGATGCATGCCTGAAAATTAAAGCACCTCATATCACTCAGGTAAACATCAGATATACATTCACTAATGGAGATTTTAATTTTTTTTACTGAGTTTTTATTATTCAGTTAGATCCCTTAACTTCATTTTCTATTTGCAGCTGGGGTGGAAGGTGGTCTCAGTTAGCTTTAGCCCTTACTTTTTTTTTTAATGTGATATAGCTAGTAAGCCTATGCTGGACCAAATCACCATTTATCACAGGAGCCAAACTCCTCCTGGCTTATTAAGCACCCTCATTGTCTTCAGTGTATGAGAGAAAGCAAGCAGAACTTTAGTGCACATCCTGAACATTAACATTTGATTGTTTTCCATGCCATAGAGTTTATGATAATAAGCTTTCTACACTTGTTTTGATAATGTGGCCAAGAAACAGAAGTGCCATCTCTAATATTAGAACCTAGAGCAGAAGCAAAGCAGCCCTCATTAGCATAGACGCCACAGAAAGTATGATGCAGTCTCTCAAATCAATGAAAATGTGGCTAATAATTGTAGAAAGAGTCTAGGCAAGAGTACAGCTGGGAACATGCCAAACTGCCTGACTGTAATTTGGATTGGCAGTTAGTCGTGTTATCTTGCCAGTCATTGATTACATGGATATTTGAATATTTCTTCTGGTTAATGTCAGATTTTATGTGAAAATCAATTTACTTTTGTTTACATTCTAGCCTACTTTTTCACCAGGTTTAACTTTTAGCAAGGATAAGCCTGAGCTGGGCCTGGGTATACAATGAAACATTGCAAAAATAGAGAGAAAAGTTTAACTATGGCTCTTGCTCACACATCCACACACATTAAAAAAAATTAACACCAGAAGATACTTTTTTTTCAAAATGTTAACTGTAGAATCTCATTCATGAGCAGCAGCTATTACTACTTTGTCGCTTGGCGCTAACTCTGTCTAGATACAGGAATAAACATAATATAGGCTTTATATAATTTTCTGTGTTATTAGTTCTAAATGCTTTTCTAGCATGCAAAGTAATTACTTTTGGTTATAAGAAATTAAAGAAATAAGGGTGCCTAATGAGGAGTGGAGGATTTAGTTTGATTATGAATCCAGCCTTTTTGATCACTGTGAGTATCATTTTGTTGCTGTGCCAGAGAACTTGGAAGGGTGACAGCTTCCTACCAAGTCTTGTGGGCTTTCTGCAGCAGCTGGAATACTGTTGAACAAAAGCCCCTGAGATATAGAGAGGTTAATCATGCCGGGGACTAAGCTGAGAGACAGAATGAGAGCTTTGGCTCATCATATTAAAAAATGCTGTGACACTTTCTGGGACACTAGTGTCTCCAAATGACCATGGTCATCTGGAAATGCCACTTCCTAAGGGTATGGCCATCTCCTCCAGTAAGGTGTGAGTGACAAGCTGGAAAGGAGCTTGGTGGTCACCGACATCCATATTTCAGTCACTGGAGTAAAGAGCAGCAAACAAGGACCAGTACAAGACTCTGTCTGCACTCTCCAAGAAAGTGCCAGAGCTCAGACAAGAAGTGAGCCAGAGCACCAAAGAGCACCTATGGAGGAGGCCTGGTGGGAGGAAATTAAGGCAGTTAGCACTACCATGAAGTTAGACCCGCCTTGGGCATCTTCTCAGCCTCTTTTCTCAGTGGGAGGGAGAGCTCTTAGAAAGTGGAATTTTTTTCTAGCCACAGAGTGGTTCCTCATTCCTAAAGACTTACAGAAAAATATATTTGAAGGGCTACATGAGGGTCATTTAGAGATTGAAAAATTTCACAGGGGGATGGATCAGTTATATTGTAAATTGCCCTCAGATGAACTATGACATTATAGAAACTCTTCAGGTTTACCAAATATGCCAAAGCACAAGACAAGTGAAGTGAAACATTCAGTGTTGGTGGCACAGAAAAACTGTGTACCTGGAACGAAACAAGCATGGATTTTTTTACACTCACAACAAAAGTGCTTCTTCATTCGATCAATTTGAAAAAAAAAAACAAAAAACACCACCAACAGCAGAAACTGCTTTCTAGCTCTGACTGTAAGTTATCATACATTTTACATGAGGACTTATTTTAATACATTCATTGAAGTCATGTTCTTAAGTCTACTTTGGTTTTGCTCTGAGCAAATGACTGAATCTTACTGGCACCTCATTTCATTTGCGTGAAATCTGACCTTGTGGAGAGTATGACATGAAGTCGATGCTTTTCTTCAATCAGCACAATAAGAATGAGCAGGACTTAGTGGATTACTGTGCTGGCCTTTGAAGAAAATGCAAATCCATAATCTTTCCTAATTTGATAGTTAGTTTAAATGTCTAACAGTAGAATCTCTGAGAGAACTTCTAGAGGAAGGCAGCAGTTTTATCCCTTGCAACAGAGCTGCAGGCTCAGCCTTCAGTAAGAAATACATCCTCCTGCTTTCTCATTTAAGGAGTTTGTGAAGAATTAGAACAGAGGCGTAGAACAGACCAAAAATCACTCTTTACCTCTAAGAAAAATGAAACCTTTTCTTAGAGGAATGGCTGAATACAGAGTCCCATATTCTGGAGGAACGCAAAGTGTTTTTTTAATGGATACTGTTTATAAGCCTGTATTGTGGGGATAAAAAAGACTATCCATTCTATGAGTACTCAAGATAAAGACATCAGCTGGAAAGAGAAGTCAAATGCTATTTTACTTAATAGCAAACTTTTCAGTGTAAGGATTTCTTGTTTTACTCCTTACAATGTTCTAAAGGGCACAATGAGTGCCCAAAGATATAAACTTCATTTAGGTTTTAAACAACATTGCTTTGTGGACATATGGTAATTTTGAAGAAGTTCTAAGAAAGAAAGCAAAAGCAAGACTATAGTGTGTGTGTATATATATATATATAGAGAGAGAGAGTATATATTTCTTTATTTCTGGATTCCCTATTAATTTCTACATTATTAAAGCTCCTAACATTGCTTCAAAAATTGACAAAATGCGACCTTTTCTCATCTCCAACAAAAAAGTGAATTACGAATAAGTACAGATTAAATTGATTGCAAGTTGTTATGATGGCAGCCTTTCTTTTTAACTTTGAGCAAATATTGAACTGATGATGTGAACACAACTGATGCGATTTGTCAGGTTGATCACCTTCCTTCCCTTCTTTCATTGCAGATATTTTGTTGGATGATGTCACTGATGGAGCACTCCACAAAGAAGGTCATAGTGTGAAAATTTTAGTCACTATAAATAAAGGCTATAGTCGAGCCAAGGTAAGTTCATTACCCAAAAGACTAGACACAGAATTAAAACTCTGCAAATCTTGCAGTATAGCAAGTCAACTTGTTTCAATATTTTCAGCTAGAAACTGGAGGAAAATACCCTAAAAGTAGCAGCTCTCTTCTCTGTCATCCATGCTCAATCCGGTTAGGCACTCTCCGTAGACTAACATCATATGTCCTCCTTCTGCCTTTGTGGTGGCTCAGACACTACCAAGTCTCAGTTTAATTAGTACTAGGATGTTCTGGGACTTGCTATCTCCATTTAAAAGATGTTTTAAACTAGATCTATGCCTCAAACCCTTAGGGTGCAGCTATGAATATGCTGTGGAGGTAATCAATTTGGAATTGCATGGTTGTGTTTTCATGTTTTGTTATGTTATAACATAAAAAATATAAGTACAATGCAACTTTTATTTATATTCAGCTCTTTATAAATACAGACACAATCTAAGAGCAGAATAAAATACTGTATTTCCTTCCTTTTAAAGATGTAATATCTATACCTATTTCTGGCACAGGGATTATTTAAAAAGTTTTAACATCACATTCTAAATAATATTATTTTTCCTCACTGGGAAACTTACAAATCTTCATAGAAAAGTAATTAGCACCATCTTTAGTCCAGTTTCCAAAAATCTCTCTCTGCAGGATCAAAAACCACATGCATATCTGATTGGATCAATTGGAGTCAGTGGAAAAACAAAATGGGACATTTTAGATGGTGTAATTAGACGTCTCTTTAAGGTAAGACCATGAAAAAATAGTTCAAGTATTAATTCAGTTTTCTTTTTCACTTAAGAAAAATTCTGTACTGTTTGGATTGTCTTGCCAAGTTTTTGCTTTCTTCTGTTTTTTGACATGTCACTAACACCACTATTAAACTTTATTCTTAATGCTGCTGTTCTTTTTTCATGATTGTAGGGCATTTCTCTACTGAATGGGACAGCAAAAAACCTCCTTGCCAAATGACTTCACCTGTACCAAAATATTTTCCAATCTGCTTTCATTCAATAGCTATTTTTCTTTTTATGCCTTGTGTTTCCATATAATTTCAGGAATATATTTTCCGAGTGGATCCAACTACTAGCCTGGGTTTAAGCTCTGACTGCATTGCTAGCTATTGTATAGGGGATGTAATTAGAGCCCATAGCCTAGAAGTGCCTGAACTGCTGCCTTGTGGATATCTGGTTGGAGATAATAACATCATCACTGTGAACCTGAAAGGTAAAACCCCAAGAACATTTTTGCAGATACTGTAGAGTTCTTCAGTGCAGTTCCCCATCCCTTCATTATTTTTTTTCTTACACCTGACCTTTCTGTATTTTGGCTCCAGTTCAAGGACTCATTTATCACATAAACTCTCTGTATGACGTTGTACAATACCTAACGCAGTGGGGCATTTTGAGGGAAATCTAAGAATATCTGTCCTTCTCTGCCTGACTGCCAAATCACAGCAAAATACACATTTCTGAATAGTGGCAACCTCTTCCCCCAAAACAGAGTTTAAGATGGGAAATATTTATGCCTTACCCCATTCCACAGGAAAAGTTCAGTACATTTCAAAAGCTGTAGGGATTTGCTATTGGAGGGGAGGGGGGCCTTCAGAAGAAATGTACATATACTGATATGACAACCAGTAACCCTTATGGCTGTCACTTTGACCTTTTTTTTTGTCATAATTGCCTGTGGTGTCTGAAACATCCATCTTTGCCTCACTGAGCCTTCTCTTCATATTTACTTTGATTTCATCTCTCCCACCTATCTCATCCCACTACCACTGTTTAATATTTTGTCCCTGTGGAAGGATATAAGCATTTCTACAGTAATGATGCCCTTGATAGGAGTTTGATTTTGGCAGAAGTACCTTACTCTGCTTTGAGCATGGCACTTGATGCCATCAGGTGCTGGGCCAAACCTCTACCTACCTTTGCAAGGAGGAAGACAGGCCATTTTTCTTTTCTTTTGTTCATAGGAGTGGAAGAAAACAGTTTGGACAGTTTTGTGTTTGACACATTGATTCCTAAGCCAATTACCCAGCGGTACTTTAATTTACTGATGGAGCATCGCAGAATTATTCTGTCGGGACCCAGTGGCACAGGGAAGACCTATTTAGCTAACAGGCTGGCTGAATATATTATAACCAAATCTGGCAGAAAAAAAACTGAGGATGCAATTGCGACTTTTAACGTAGATCACAAGTCAAGCAAGGTAAGTTGCAGATTAAAAGGTAACCTATTGTCCAATTTGTAGTGATGACGCAGAGCAGATCCTATTAATTGGTATACTGGTTTGTTGCTCAGTTAGCATTTTTTCCTACAAAAATTCAGTCTCCTATCCCAGTGAGGAACAGGGATCCGATCTTTCTGTTCTAAACAAATCATTGAAGCACTGTGAAGGAAGTCTGAATTTTCCTTCCACTTGAGGAAACCCACCTTAAAGATAGATGCAGAGTAAAATTCCTATGTAAATTCAAATCTTAAAGTCTGTAATTTCTTGGTCAGAAAGGTAATACTAATTTAACTTGGGAGGTTTTTTTCTGAGTGATAATAGCAGCCTACTAGCAATGATTTCAGAATGGGGATTTTGAATTACTATCTTGGGTTCAGCACTGGATAAGTACAACTGCTCCCACGGTTTCTGGAGTGCATCGTTCAGGAAGGTGACCATACTAAAATTACCTCATGCATCATGTCATATTCACAGTGATTTACACAGCTCAGATTATCAAGCTTCTAGCATGACTACCGTGCTAGTCACAGATAATGCTATTCACTTTCTGTCCTAAATTGGGTATACTCCTAACTTGGTACCCAGGGAAAAAAATAATGAAAGGTCTTGCCCAGAGCTTTATGATTTGCACAGAACATAATGAATGTTAGCATAATGTAAGAAGAAAGAATATGCAGATCCCAAAGGGGCGAGAGGATCATTCCAGTAGAAACATCGCTTTTCACTGTGTTTTATACAGAGGATTTGTGATGCCATTTACTTTGGCAGGGAATGTGTTTATGTTTTATTGTTATACCATATACATTTATAATTAAAGTTGTCACACAAAAGAGCAAGCTTTTCGATTTCTGGTAGATTGCTTGTTGTATATGATTTTGTTTTGCGGTTCTTTTTTTTCTGTTCTTCTTTTCCTTTGTTTCTAGTAAGTTTTATATAGAACTTTTGAGTTCATAGTAAAAAAGAAAAAACGTCATCGACTACCAAGTGTGTTTGAATAATACAGATGGTGCTATTCCGTGGAGGAAACTTAATGATGTTCCCATTGAGACACCTGATCATAAAAAGCCAAACAGAAACCTTTCTTGAAGTAAACAAAGATCACAAGTTCTCATTAAAGAAAAAAAATTCTGCTATCCTTGATCCAGAAAGTAAAACAGCAATAGGAACTTTGTCCATTATACTGAGCACTCCCAACACTGACAAAATTAGATTCTTCTAGAGACACAGCTGTAAGACTTGACTAGCCCAGACCCTCAAGGGCAACATAGTGTTGATAAAAATATGAAATGTTTTGATTATAGAAAGCTGTCTTTTACTCCAGCACTAAACAGCAGCCAGACAGCTGACAGGAAAAAAAAGAATTTACACAGCAAACTTTATCATGAGATGTGATATAGTGTCCCCAAAAGGCCAAAGAGGTTTTCTGCGAGAGTGGTGAAAGCAGATATCTGAAGGAGCAGTTCAGTATGCCTAAATTGTGTGATAATTTGGTGGGGGTTTTCTTTTTGGTATGTAAATGTGGCATTAATAAGGATGGAGGTCCAACGGTTAATGTGAGTATCTCAGCCCATTGGAAATGGCATATTTTATTGCAACCTGTTTTGCTCTGGAGATAAGGTATTTTATCAGCAGGTTTTTAAGGAATGTATCCACCAAATAGAAATGTGTATGCTTCAGTCACTTGCCTTATGTTTAGTGCCTTTATTTTTCCTAGCATGTGGCTTCATTGTTGCCCTATCAAAGAAGCAGAGCTTCCTGCATGTGCTGATCCAGCTGAATGATCCACAGTGGGGAAACTGTAGCAGCCTATTTATCTTTCTGAAAATCTTTTCCACTGAAATTACGTTTATAGTCTGACTGAATTAATCTTTTCTGTTTTGTTTTGTTTTGTTTTGTTTTGTTAATTCTGCTGAAGGATCTGCGACAATACCTAGCAAACCTAGCTGAGCAATGCAGTGCTGACAACAATGGTGCTGACCTCCCCGTGGTCATCATTCTTGATAACCTCCACCACATCAGTTCACTAAGTGACATCTTCAATGGTTTCCTCAACTGTAAATATAACAAATGGTAGGTAGCAGCTCTTCTCTCCTCTTTCACACACCTTTTGCAATTAAAACAGTAAAAGCTGTTTGTTATTTTGCAAAATAAAATGTCCCAGTGGACACTTAGGCTGTCAGCAAAGCCGTTATGCACTTGAATAATTTTTACTCTCTTCAGTCAAGTACTTAGGTGTCTTCTTCACTTTATTTAAATGACTCCCATGCATCTCAGTGAGATGCAAATGCACCACAGAATTTAAGAATATACTTAAAAGCTTGACTGAATTAAGGTCTTATCCCTTTCACCCTGTGACATCACACAAGCTCATTAGTACCATGAGGACAACTTATGGGAGAGTAAGAAGAAATGCACTTTATAATAGTGGAATTTGGGATATATGTGAACCCATGAACCAAACCATGCAGAGACAGCTGTGATTCTGGCAGGCTTGCTCTTCTTATAGTTTTCTTGTTGTAGTACAGAAGTATGAAGTTTGCTGACTGTCCTTTATTGCCAAGCAAACATAAAAATAATGTTTTCTGGGACTTTTACTGGCCTATAACAT